CTCATTAAAGAGAAAGTTTGTAGCCTGATCATAGATGGAGGAAGTTGTACTAATGCTGCAAGTGAAAAGATGGTTAAGAAGCTCCAGCTCAAGACTATTCCTCATCCAAGACAGTATAAGCTTCAGTGGTTGAATGACAGTGGAGCCTTGACCGTATCTCAGCAAGTTATGGTTTCTCTATCTATTGGGAAGTATGAAGATGAGATTCTATGTGATGTTATTCCCATGGGTTCGAGTCATGTGTTGCTAGGCAGACCGTGGCAATCAGATCGTAGGGTGATACACGACGGTTACACCAACAAGCACTCATACGAGTTCAAAGGTCGCAAAACTACCCTCTTACCTCTCACGCCTACCGAGATTTACCAAGATCAGATTCAGATGAAGCTCAAGGAGAAGGAGAAAGTCGCCAACAGCCTCTACATAAACCACAGTGAATTTTCTAAACTCTTTGATCCTGAAATGACTACTTTTATGTTTGTGTACAAGGAATCCCTTGTTAGTACTAACCCTTCACAAGAGCTTCCTAGTGCTATGTTTGAGATTTTGCAGGAATACAAGGACGTTTTTCCAGTAGAAATTCCACCAGGGCTACCTCCAATTCGCGGGATAGAGCATCAGATTGACTTGGTACCAGGATCAGCCTTACCTAACAGGCCAGCATACCGAACCAATCCTGTAGAGACTAAGGAGCTGCAGAAGCAAGTGGAAGAGCTGATGAGCAAGGGACATATCCGAGAAAGCTTGAGTCCATGTGCGGTTCCAGTTCTGTTGGTGCCAAAGCAAGATGGTTCCTGGAGGATGTGTGTAGACTGCCGAGCTATCAACAACATCACTGTGAAGTATCGCCATCCGATCCCAAGGCTAGATGATATGCTGGATGAGCTCTGTGGATCGAAAATCTTCTCTAAGATAGACTTGAAGAGTGGATATCATCAGATCAGAATGAAAGAAGGAGACGAATGGAAGACGACATTCAAGACAAAGCAAGGACTCTACGAGTGGCTAGTTATGCCGTTTGGCCTCACCAATGCGCCCAGCACTTTCATGAGACTAATGAACCATGCCCTGAGACCATTCATTGGCGTGTTTGTGGTGGTTTGTTTCGACGATATCCTCATCTACAGTAAAGGTTTGGAAGAACATCTAGACCGCATCAGATCGGTTCTTGATGTTCTTCTCTCTCAATCTCTCTTTGCTAATTTATCTAAATGTTCATTCTGCACTAACGAAATTGTTTTCTTAGGCTTTGTAGTAAGTGCAGGAGGAGTTAAAGTAGATGAAGAGAAGATAAAAGCTATCAAGGAGTGGCCAACCCCCAAGAATATTGGAGAAGTCCGAAGTTTCCATGGCTTAGCAGGATTCTACAGGCGTTTTGTTCGTGATTTCAGCACCATAGCCGCGCCCTTAACAGAAGTGATCAAGAAAGATGTGGGGTTCAAGTGGGGAGAGGCGCAAGAACAGGCTTTTACAGCCATTAAAGAGAAGCTTATCAATTCGACCTTACTAGTACTTCCTGATTTTACTAAGACTTTTGAGATTGAATGCGATGCTTCTGGTGTAGGTATTGGAGCAATTCTTATGCAGGACAAGAAGCCCGTCGCTTACTTCAGCGAAAAGTTAGGAGGATCAATGCTGAATTATCCCACGTATGACAAGGAGTTATACGCATTGGTTCGAGCTCTCCAGACGTGGCAGCATTACCTATGGCCTAAGGAATTCGTCATTCATACCGATCACGAGTCTCTAAAGCACCTCAAGGGTCAGCGGAAACTTAACAAAAGACATGGGCGATGGATGGAGTTCATTGAGACATTCCCCTACATTGTTAAGTACAAAAAGGTAAAGATAATGTGGTCGCAGACGCATTATCCCGGAGGTACACTCTCTACTCAATTTTAATATCAAAGTTGATTGGATTTGAGCACATTATAGATCTCTATGAATCTGATACTGACTTTTCTGAGAGCTATGCCAAGTCTCATAAGTTTGCCTGTGAGAAATTTTATAGACAGGATGGATACTTGTTCTTCAGTAACCGATTGTGCATACCACGAGGATCCATTCGAGAGTTACTGGTACGAGAAGCTCATGGAGGTGGATTAGCTGGACATTTCGGTGTCACAAAGACACTTCTTGGACTACAAGAGCACTTCTACTGACCGAACATGAAGAAAGACGTTGAGAAAATTTGTTCTAGATGTGTTGTATGTAAGATGGCTAAGAGTAAAGTTCAACCTCACGGTTTGTATACTCCTTTGCCTATTCCTTCTCGACCTTGGACTAATGTCGCTATGGATTTTGTAGTTGGCTTACCTTGAACCAGAAATGGTAGAGATTCTATTTTTGTAGTTGTTGACAGGTTTAGCAAGATGGCCCACTTCATCGCTAGCCACAAGACAGATGATGCTGTGAATGTAGCTAACTTGCTTTTCAGGGAAGTAGTAAGATTGCATGGAATGCCACAGGTCATCGTTTCAGATCGAGACACGAAGTTCTTAGGACATTTTTGGCGAACGCTTTGGGCTAAGCTGGGAACAAAGCTCTCATTCTCGACTACGTGTCATCCTCAGACCGATGGACAGACCGAGGTGGTGAATAGAACGTTGTCCACACTTCTAAGGACTTTGGTGAAAAGTAACCTCAAGACATGGGAAGAGTGCCTGCCTCATGTCGAGTTTGCTTACAATCACGCTAAGCATTCCGCTACTCTCTTTTCTCCTTTTGAAATTGTATATGGGTTTAATCCACAATCACCTCTAGACTTGATCCCTTTGCCTTTAAGTGGAAAATGCAGTTTGAATGGCAAGGAGAAAGCTGAACAGGTCCGAAGAATACATGCTAAGGCTAAGGAGAACATCGAGAAGAAGACAAAGCAGTATGAGAAGCATGCCAACAAAGGACGAAAGGAGCTGATTTTCGAAGAAGGAGATCTGGTGTGGATCCATCTGAAGAAGGAGCGATTTCCAGCTGAGCGAAAGAACAAGCTAATGCCCAGAGTTGATGGACCATTCGCAGTCATCAAAAGAATCAACAACAACGCCTATCAGATTGATCTTCAAGATTCAGATTTGAGGACAAATCCTTATCAAGAGGGAGAGGACGTGATACGATCCAAGGTGATCTACTCTGAAGAATAAAGGCTAAAAGGGCGAAGATGGCTTGATGATGTCGTGATAGAGCTATGGAGATCGGATCGATGGTGACGATGGTGGCTTGGCGGATCGATGGTGATGATGGTGGCTCGGCGGATCAATGGATATGGTGGAGAATGAGAAGATGATCGATTGTTGGTGTGGTGATGATGAGATGATATCGATGGAATGGAGAGATAGAAGAATCTCTTGTACGATTAGTTTTTAAGAGATTCGAATTCAGAGTTTTTAGTTCTCAGAAATCAAAGAGAGAAGAACACGTTAAAAGTTTGATCAAAATTCTTCACTGAATAACACTTGGGCGATTTTCTCTGTTTTATAGACTAAGAGAGAAAATCGCAGCCCTAATAACAAACTACATGGCGTTTGAAATAAAAACAACACGAAGTTTAATTTAAAAATAAAACAGCGAGGTGTCCCTTCTAAACCTAAGTGGTGCGCCTAAAACACTAGTGCACAAGTCATTGTGACTTTGCACATTATTACCCATTAGTAACAACTTCTAAGTAACTCGACGTAGCAATGATTTCTGCCTCGTTAAAAACCTTGGAGAAGAACCTCCTTGCCTTTCAAAATCCTCACCAAGGAAAAGAGTACAGAATCATCACCTAAGTTACCTAGTCATTGTTACTGGGTTCTTCATTCTTCAAGATAGAGATGTTGAAGATGTGAGCTCCAGCCTCCAGTTGATCGATGTCCTCTGCGGCCATGAGTGCGTGAGCCTCCTTAGCCATCTCTCTAGCTCTGGAACGAGTGATCCTGCCAGCTACCTCTGGTTCCTCCTCCTCTGAGCTGGTCACGATCATATCAGGTCTCCTCTTTTTCTTCTGACAAATTGGGTACTTCCCGCAATTCAATCCTGACACAATTTTAAACTATCGGATTGAGAACCGAATAGGTTTACCTGCAAATACCAACCAGATCTCGTTTTCTTTCTTCACATCAAGTAGTCTAGTTAGGGTGAACAATCCGAATGCGCCGGACCAAGCAGGCTGGTGAGCAAATTCGAACAATTTGCCGAACTGAGATGCCTTCATGAAATCTTTCTCCGTCTGATTCAAGGCGGCTTCGATGTCGGCGATTATCATCATCTTTTGATAAATGTTCACACGATCTCCTTTGGGGACTTCTTCAGGGCTGAAAATCCTCTAAGGGAGATCTGAATCCGGCAACTACAAAGAAGCAGGGAGTAGATATGGTTAATCACCCTGTAATAAAAAACTACCAGACCTAGTCTCCGTTCAAGTTATTAAACTAACACTCTTGATTAAGTCTCTCGAAATTTACCTCTTCGGACATGGATTCTGATCGGAAATCATCGCCATCGCTGTTGTCAGAACTACCCATCACTTGCAATCTCGAATACAATCGCAGTTTTGAAAACCTAAATATCGGCCTTTCTTTCTCCTACCCGGAAGCTCTACAATCCTTTTTCGAAACAGTTTTTAATAAAAAAAACATAATTTTAAATTTCCCACTACTCCCGAAAAGTAGGAGCCCACTAAGAAAAGTACTCCCAGCTAAACGTGTTATAGATCCTGAGGCAGAGCCTAGACTGACTCGACAGAGTAGGGGTATGATATGGTATTGGTGTAGTAAACAGTACACTTATAGCAGTGTCGTTTCTGACATTTAATTTTGGGTTATCTATAGGTACATACTCATATAACTCTTAATAATAACTGTTTTTTACTTTGTGATTATGGTTTTTGAACATAAATTTAGATACAATGTATTGAGACTCAATTAACCTAAAGATATAAGATTTCGGGTACAATTTGTAACATGCCACTCAGGGTATATAATACGCCATATTGTATTGAGGCTCAGTTAACCTGAAGAAGGAAGATATAAAATATCGGATACCACACAATTTATATAACTTATTGTCTAACAACTCAACATTTTAAGACAGAAAAGGAGAGTATAATAATATAGCTGGTCATATTTATGTGAAATCTCACTTTTTGGATTCTTGGATGGGTTTAGTGAAAGAAATATATTATCTATCGGCTCTTTACTGAAATGAAGGCAAAATGCCCCACTGATGCAGAAACCCTTTTCCGGTGGTGACTTCGAGCACCAAAAGCGCGAGCACAGCCAACATTGCTGCTCTTCCGTTCCATGTTTCTGCACTTTTGGTCCATCCCCATTCCCACATCGTCACTGGCGCTGGTAATTCCCTCCTCTGTGAATCATACGTCGCCAATAGTTCTTCTACACTCCCCAGCGGAACTAACGACTGGTCAAGGGAAAATGAATAAACCACCCCCACAAAATCAATTCGGTCAGCCATACATATTATAATAAAAAAATTCAGTCAGCCTACCAATGTTTTGGTATTTTCAAATGCATATATTTTTATTTTGCCTCTACCTGTACATTTAAAACATTCTGTTCGGATTCAAAGAATTCCACATTTTAATTTAATCAAACATTCCCATGCTAATGGAAAATGAAATACAAAACACACAAAAAATTTCCATCGAGTGAGAAATTCATGATTTCACTTACAAAAACGTTGTTGTTTCATTTGAAGAAAATTAGACTAAATTAATATGTAAACGTGATGGAAAAATAAAAATCAACCCCATATTAAGCCTACCGATTCTCCCAATAAGAAGTTTCTGGCACACAAAACAAACGAAGTTCGAGTACAGAGCGGATGAAGAGTGTTACCTGTCGAGCTTCAAGGTTTGAGACTGCCATAGCTCCAACATATGGAAGACTTTCCACAACAGCATCTGCCAAGTCAGATATAAACATGGGTTCTGTTCCCAGTGCAGGCACTCGGCCCCAATTTTTGATACCGGACTTCAATGCCAACTCCTTATACTCAACATCAATCTCTTCCAGAGTTTCAATGTGCTCGCTCACAAAGCTGTAAGATTAGGAGAAAACCTTCCCATTAAAAAAATAGAAAAAAAGAAAAAAGAAACGAAAAGAAGCGCCAGAATTTGTGCCAGAGGTACTGCTTTACCTTATGGGTACAGCCAGAAGATTTTCAACACCTTTTTTACCAAGTTCAGTAATGGCTTCTTCAGTGTATGGTTTCAGCCATTCCACTGGTCCAACTCTGCTCTGTTGTAGTGTTGCGCAACAAATAATGAAACAACAGACTGAGTGAAATTTGACAAAGAGCTATCAAATTATACTTTCAAAAGGATCCTGGTAAACCAGACATGAGAAATATAATAAAAATCACTGACGGCCAATAGTAATGAGAAATTGTACAATCTGTTTTCAAAGATCGCTTACCAAGATATTTGTATTATTTTAAGATGTCATTTCTAGTAATGTAACAAATATAAATGTAAAAGACCTGATAAGCGAGAGTGTAAGCATTAGTTATATTTCTCCTGTCTAATTCCTCCATGATCAGATCAACACATTCTTCCATCTCTGCCTTGTACGGATCACCAGCTTCTTCAACGTATGCAAGTGGCACGCCATGTGCACTGAAAAATATTACAACCTGTAACATATATTTTGGTTTGAAGCACGTCTTAGAATAGTTGGATGGTAGAAAAAAGAAAGCTACAAGGATATGAAACTCTTTCTTTCCACTAGAGAATAATTTACAGCATAGAGTAGACGGAGGATACACAGATCTCACGGAAACATGAGAGATAGATGGCGCAAGATAAATTCAACAAATTCGTTTGCTACGTACGGACTGAGAAGATAACAAACTGAAATAAAATAAATAAGTAACTTGGGCTGATTAGATAAGGAAAAGATTGTCTACCTGACTAGGGGAACCAAATTTCCCCAACTCGCTTTGGATTAAATTTGCCATAGCCTTTATATATCCCTCTCGCTGGTACCACGAAGGTATAACAGTATGCTGCATGTTCACAAGATACTCGTCCTCTCTATGTATATAGCCAGACAAGCAAATAAAGGTAAATAATCAAGTAAGATATGGTCTTGGCATACTAAAACAATGTAAGATGTACAAGTTTCACCGGAATAATCTCTCCAAGAGTCTTAAGCTTGAACCACTTGTCGATATCGAAAATTGAGGATAAAGTGGTAGAACAACAAGTTTTGTGATTCCATCTCTTTTTATCTGCCACAAGAATATATGAAAATAAAATGAATAAGAATCACAGGGCACAAATTCCAGTTGTTAACACATAGAACACCGAGTTTAAAGCGAAGGTTTACATACTGTTAAAAACTAGACAATTAAACCCAGTATAGTTAGAGCATTCATAATAAAATAGGAAAGAGTAGTAAGGGCTCTGATTATTTGGTTCTTCTTGTGTTTATATGTTGAAATATCGTCTTCAAATTCAATATAGATTTTTTTACAAAAACATTGTTCGGTATCATGTGACGTCTACAGATGATGTTTGATAAAAAAAACAAAAAAACAATATGTTGTGCTTTCCTTTAATTGTAAACAGCACAGAAAACAGTTTGTGTTTGAGAGGATATAGCCTAAATCAAGATACCTAGTACCATATTGAAGATACCTGCTCAATGGCTTCCTCCGTGAATGGATGCCAATACCGCATACCAACATATACCTTTGCTGGGACATTTTTTTCGCAAAGGCACTTTCTTATTTCTTCAGCCTAGTGAAGGTATGGGAGGAATTAATAGCAGAAGGAGCAAGCTAAATAAATAATAAAAGCCACCAACATGGATAGAAGAAACTATATATGTGCAGAGTAATATACATGCGTAAGTCTTAACCCGATCCCCTTTCCATAAATTTGAAGAATCTCAATTACTTTTTTTTTAATCTAATGTTAAATTATATTCAAAAGAAAAAAATAACTGTTTCTTACAACTTTGATCTAAAAAATCAAACTGAAACCATAATGCAATCATGAAAATTTTCAAAATTGTCTGGCTGCCAACCAGAGTTGCAACCCATCATCATATCGCATGTCCCCTGAATCTCAATTACTTAACTACTCCGAGATTTACAAATGTGTCCCACACAAGTGCAAGAGATTTACAAATGGAAAGGAAATGTGAGCATTTTGTAAGACTAAAAACAATTTTAGTTGGAAGCCAGCATCGGTTGATTGCTGATAATAAAGCTAATTCATTGAGAAATATAGGCCTAGAAAAGTCAAGCTAGTTGTAAACCGTTTTGATTCAGTACTTGCAGGACCTCATTCAAAGATATAACTTCCACAAACAGAGAAAATAACATAAGAAAAGCTGAGTACCTAAAATCATATTGTGAAATGAGAAGACCAAGGAGTACCTGTGCATCAGTTATGAGGCGCAGGGGAGAACCACCACCAATAGATGCGTATCCTTCCTTGCTTTTGGGAGCCCTTGCTACAGATATAAATTGCGCCAATGGCTTCTGAAGAAATTGGAACATTGGCGGCAACCGTATAATGTCCTAGTGATTGAACAGAGATTAGGTATTGGCATTAGTAGTACGAAACAGGAAAAGATAAAGTAAGCCGCTCAAACAATCTCCCCTTTTACACTTTCATAATTTAAGGTTCTGTAGACATTTGTAGAAACGTTAGTCTCATTCGTGTGTACTGTAAACGACATCCTTATTTATTTATCACAGTTAGCCATGTTTAAAATATCTGCAATTTAAAGGTCAGCATATATACCGGGTCAGCAAAGAGGTTAAACAAAAAAGGTTGCACATCATCTAAAGTCTCGGGCCCTCCAAGGTTCAATAACAAGACTCCTATTTTCTCATCACTGATTACTGCTGAAGATGAAATGTTTAAGGGATTGGAGGTCACCAACGCTTTTAAAGGCAATGAATGTTTTCCAAGCAGTCGGTTCGAAAGGACTGGCTGTTTTTCACCCCATCCCCGATAATGATGATACCCGTCGGATAGATTGGAAGAAGCAAATGCCTCAAAGGGTAATCTTGAGTATTGAACAGAGCTCATTTGTGGTAAGAGTCTGTATCAAATAGAGGCATGTGAAACAAACCAAACAATCAGTAAAAAACCACCTTAACGAATATACAAGCTAATCTTTATATATTCAAACAAACACATGTCTCAATAAAATATTCATCACAATCCTGAATTCGATTTCTTCTCTTTTATGAACATATTTTTCTGATTTGGTTGAATTACGAAAGTAGTAACATTGTTTATCAATCAATAAAAATAAATGCTGTTTTTGACAAAAAGATTAAAAAATAAATAATAATCTAACTCCACTTCCCCATCTGCGAAAGCTAATTGTCTGTTAAACCATTCAGGTGATAGATAAGAAACTTACGGAGGAGGACGAAATGTAGAATAAGAATAGGAAGAAGAGCAAGAAGAAGCAGATGCGCTCATGGCTGGGCAAGTCATTGCAAATGAAATTATATCTCCAATTTTTAGGTTTTTTTTGGTGGAAGATGAATGAATTTAATCACTCAGTTGTGATAAAATGATGGGTTTTTGCATAACGGTAGTGTGAGGAGGATTGGTAAATGGCTTGAGGATGGAGAACCACACGTGTCCATATAAGGCCGATAAGAACTACCTTCTTTCATTTTTTTTTTGCCTTAAAAAAAAAGAAAATTGTTCTATAGATAGTTTTTAAGTTTTAAATTAGAGGAATAGGTAATTTTGAAAACCAAAAATGATAAAATTATTTTTACTGTTTGTCTTTCTGCTAGGTCCTTAAAGCAATTTTTTATTTTCAAAATTGCCATTATTTAAGTAAATAACTAACAAATTCTGGTAAAATCCAATTTGGTAAACCGATTACACAAAATCATAAACCGAAGTTCAATATCATAAACCAAAGTAAAATCAAATATATAATTTAGAGAATCGACACTCCAACATTTAAATTAAAAAAAAATTGTTGGGATCCACATCTGGACGTAGTCCATCTAGCATCTCCGGCAATTCATCTCCGATTAGCCCTCCGAGTGACCGTTGTAATGGCGCAGAGAGTTAAAAAATCGTTTAGGCGCAACACCGTGCCTCCGGTGTCCAGGCGAGTGCTCTGGAGTAACTCAAAGACAGCTCCGACGGAGCAGTCGCCCATACCGCCCATGCCACCGCGACGAAGTGACCGGGTTGAACATCCCATCCACGCGAGTCGTCTCAATCCACGCCGGCGGTGTAGCTCCAAAGTACAGTTCACTCCTCTTCTTCTAGAATAGCCTGCTCAGAATTCTAAAAGTAAGTTACTTTTATGAATTTCGACCTTGTATGAACTGTACTGGCGGTTTGTTAACTCAAATTAACTCAAATTAAGATTGAAACGGGCCGCCTGATTGGCCTGATTTATGTATTAGCGGTTATGAACTCTAGTAGTTATGTTTATATATTGAATTCAAACGGTTGGATTACTCTTATATCATCTAGAAACAGTTACAGAAGTTTATATATGAGAGCATACGGATAGGGTAGTTTTTCCAGATCTGTGTTCTCTCCTTCGAACTCCTTCGAACTCCTTTCCCTCAAAATTGCCACCCTGGTTTGCATTTAAATGTTTCTCCAGAATATTATATCTTTCCTGCATTTCGGATTTATTGTTTTGGTTCAAATACAGGAATGGAAGACGGAGAAGCTTCAAATACAGGCATGGAAGATGGAGAAGCTTCAAATAACCTTTCGGAAAAACTACCAAAAAGGGTCCTCGGCAATGGTTGCTACCCCGTTGGTGCTCGGTTGAACATATATTCAAAGGCCAATGTCATTGGCCTCCTTGTTGAGGCATTAAAGGGTACTGAAGATCTTGAGAAGCTACTTCATTCCCAGTTTAGGAAATTATTCCATCTACCTGTTGCAAGATGTTGCAACAGCGCCAAACTAGTCCATGCCCTTCTATCACGACAACTTGTGACCACAAAGACACACGAGATTTGGTTCCTCTTTGGTGGACAGCCTCTGAGATATTTGATACGGGAGTTGAAGGAAATCACTAGATTGAATTGCAATCTCGAACCTGATAGCTCAGAAGAAGAAGAAGATGTCGGAAAGACAGGAATCTGGAAAGACCTGTTTGGAAGAGCGACCACTATGAACGTGTTTGATGTGCTTGAAATGCTAAAGGACCTGGATCTACCCCGATGGAAACGGCTACCATTGGCCCTAATCGTTCTTGTGACGGTGTTCTCTTTTGCAATAGCAAAAATCTGGCCCTGACCGAAAAATACGTAGAGATGTTGACTGACTTGGATAGGTTCATGCTGTATCCATGGGGGAGGGTATCCTTTAACAAAACAGTATCTCGTTTTCAAGCTCCGAAGGCAATCACGGATGCCGAGAAAAGGGAGAATCCTTTAACACGATTGCGTCGTCAACTTAAACAGAAAACCAGTGCATGCTACGGGTTCCCTCTATCACTACAACTCATGGCCCTCCAATCTATACCAATGTTGGTTTCCAAAATTCCTCAACCTGATAACTTAAAGACTTTCATTGAAGATCCCGAAGGTTGTCAAAACGTTATCACACTATTGCATCTTGAGGATATACTTGCCGTGGAATCCGACCCTCTGGTAAATTATTTGTAGTATTATATTTAGTACTATTTGTAGTCTTATTTTGTAGTACTTGTCTTATAAGATAAGTACTCTGTGATTGTGTTAGTAATTTTGCAATTGTTTTTTAATCTTAGTTGTCTGTGAAACAGATGGTAGTGGATGATGGTGACAATGACCAACAGAATGAATTGCGTTGGGGAGATGAGGTAGAGGATGCTGAAGTTGCATTCATACAGGAACTCATGGCCGAGGGGTACAAATTCACACCTTCGGATTTTGCTGTGGCACCGGCACCTATCGTGGATCTTAGTGATGCAGAGGACGAGGTTACCAATGAACAGGAACCAGAGCCATCTACCCGACCGATGAAGAAACTGAAAACTCATCAAACTGAAAAACGTAAGATGCAGAGGAAAAGAGGCAGGGGAAAAGAGGCAGGGGCAAGAACTCTTCTAATCTAACGGAAAATGAAAGCCCTGAAAGTGGACAGATTGCAGATCTTAAAAGATGGATAGTAAGTCAGAATGAATTGCTCCTGGGTAAGATTAAGAGCATCTCCAATGGTTTCTTCATTTTTTTCTTCATTTTTGAAGGAAAAAAAAAAAAGAAACCATTGTATCAACTTTTCTTCATTTTTTTCTTCAAAAAGAATATTCTAGGTATATTCTATCTCTCTATGTTATTACTAATTGCTAACAAGATCCTTCAATTTTTTGTTTTATAAGTTTTCACCTACTTATTTTATTTATTGTAAAATTTCAACAAAAATTTAATAATTTTAATGGATGTAGAAATAGTTTCTCAGATTATTAAGTTGTTAGTTTATGTTATGTTAAGTTTTCTTATTTATAATTTAGCATTAGATATGTATTTTTAATTTTGTAGTTGGCTATGTTCTTGTATTTCTTAAATTAATATATGTTATTGTATTTTTTATTGTGCTTATTGCATTTTTAGTTTATAATTTGATTAGATAAATCCATAGTTTTAAAAAAAATTGGGTAAAAAAAACATATAAGTTTTATTTGGGTATAAAACAAAACATATAAAAAGTTAAAGTTACATTTTGTAAGAAAAAAGTTCACATTCAAAAAATGAAGAAATGAACAGTGTTCCTTCAAATATGAAGGAACACTGTTCATTTCTTCATTTTGAAGGTGAAGCACCATTGGAGAAGACTTCTTCATCTTCAAAATGAAGGAAAAAGTAAAATTTGAAGGACCATTGGAGATGGTCTAAGACAGAGTTGGATAAGATGACGATGAAGATGACGAAGAAGAAGATGACGATGTACACCAGTCAAAAGAAGATGGGGAACAGGATGACGAAGGACAGAATCCAAAAAAGGTGGTGAAAATCCGGATGAAGATGAAGATGAAGACGAAGACAAAGATGGTCATGATGGTGAAGAAGGAGGTGATGATGGTGCACAGTCTAGCGTACGCCATGATGATGGTGTACACCATAAAGAAAGAGATGATGAAGAAGGGACCTCTACTTACTACGGCAGGAACCATTATTCTCCCAGGGACCATGCGTACTTGAAGACTCCAGAAGCTCCAACGAAGACCCCTGAACCTGAACAAGCCAATTCAGGAACAAGTCGTCCACCTCCTTACTCCGTCAATCCGAATGAAGATCCACCTTCTGGCCCCAACGAGGTGAGCTAATTGTTTAGTCAGCAGCTGACTCTATTAAGTTTCATAACGGGTGTGTACTATGCAATATTTTTTCTGACTTATTCAGGTGGATGGTGGTCGAACAAATTTGGGGTCAGGCATCTTAGTAGTCTACAAACTTCAGACTGCTCACCCATTGAGTTACGCATATAAGAAAAATGAAGCGCAGACAGATGCACAAGATGCACAGGTCAGACATTAAACTTGTTCATATGATATGCATGTGTGTACAGTACTCTTTAGGTATACGCTAGGTATACGATTGATATGTTATACGCTTTATTGTTACGGTGGTTTGTAGGTTGTGGCTAATGAGGAGGACTCAAATGCGGCGAAAGATTACCATACTGCGCCTGAGGATGCAAGTGATGCTTCGCAGAAGACCACTTGTACTCCAAAACCCCCACAAGAAGTTGAGGGATCGTCTGGTGTAAAGAGAAAAAGTAGAGGAACAGGAAGAGGAGGAAGAGGTAGAGGAACAGGAAGAGGAGGAAGAGGTAGAGGAAAACGCGCACACGTACGGTCGGACAAGATTCGAGATATTTACACCGAAGATTCAAAGGTGAAAGATCTATTTGTATCCAGATGGAAAGCTGCATACAAACCACTCGAAACAGTGGAACAAGACCAGTTCAAGGCATTCCAGGAGTTATTATCGCGTGAAAGGAACATGTAAGTTATATCGTATGCAAAGCAATTTATCCTTAAACTTTCATTGTTATCAATTACCAATTGCTCTCATTACAGCGACTTTTGCATTGTCACTGGTCATACTGTGAACAATCAATTCTTCCTACAAACTGCAAAGCCTACTGAGTGGGTTAACACGATGGTAAGTATATAGTTAGTACGTACTGAATCTTTAATTATCTGTATTATCTGTTATTTATTTTTTGTTATTCGTCAGCACATGCAAGTCATAATGGCCATGCTTTGGAGACGTAGAGGTGAAATATACTTGAAAGACAGGGTAGCATTTGTAGACACCTTGTTCATATCCATCATCGGCAACTACTACAACAGTTTCATATCTGGAGACAAAAATCAGTATGACTGGGGGAAAACCATTCAGAGCATTGTATTGGGAAAACCTGCAAAGTGGGCTAATCAGCGTCAAAGACAAATGTTTCTACGGTTTGTGGACGTTGTCTACGTCCTGATGAACTGGGGGTTTGAGCATTGGGTGGGCCTTGTAATTGACTTTAAAATGGGCAACATAAAGATTTTGGACTCATTCATCAGTCATAATGATGAAGCGGTTGTGGAACAGTATATGGCGCATGTGTGTCAA